CACACACACACACACACACACACAGTCTGAGGACAAGGACAAACACTTGGCAGAAGGCGCACCCAGCTCCCTGACCCCTGCCTCAGCTCTAGCCCTCGCAATGCAGCTACTCCACCGACATCCATGTGCTTGTCCTTCCCCAAACACAAAACGGCTAGCAATGATGTGAACTTTTCCAACGGTGGCTCCCGAGGACTTTGTGGCCACAAAGATTTGGGGGAGAGGGGAGGGTGCACCCCTACTCTCAACCACACTTACATCGGACCCCCACCCCCCTCTTAAAGTGCAAGCAGGAGAAAAAGCACTCGATCACTGCCCCAGTGGTCCTCGCCCGACACGGTGGCGAACCACAGCACAAAGCCACCCGGAGCGAGGCGCCAGCCCGTCGGAGCGCGCGCCTTGAAGGAGCGGCAGGTGCCCGCGCGGGCGCGCCGCCCGGAGCCACTCACCGTTGGGCTGTGCGTGGGGCGCACGGCGCAGACCAGCTGCCCCGCGGCGGAGAAGCCCCGTTTGGCCTGGGGGTGCTGGAAGCGGAGGTGGATGAGCTCGAACACCGCCCCGAAGCACTGGGCGAGGAAACGCATCCCAACTTTCGGGGGGAAGCTGCGATCGGCGGCGGAGAGCGCTGCCGGCTCGCACGCCTGGCCCCCAGCGCGGTGAGCGCGCCCTCCTCTCCATCACCAAAATAAGACGGGGGCGGGGGGCGGGGGGCTTGCAGCAGCGAGGCGGCCAATCACAGGGACGGAAATGTTATCCCGGAGGTGCGGAGACAGCCAATAACAGACGCCTCCCCGACCGAAACTCCCTGATGGATTGAGCCTGCCAGAGAATGTATCATGGAGCATTACCGGAGATCAGCACGTTGCATTTATCTTGTGATTACAGCCAGCCATACATAATGCCGCGGAGATAGGCTGACAAAATTGATCGCTTAATGCGGCTCCATTTATTAATTGACTTAATTTAACATGTGAGCCGGTCTTGAGGTCCTAGCAAAAAAACGGGAAGCTTTTACACCGCCAGAGAGTAACGCGCCCAGCTCCAAAATAGGCAGATGGATGAACGCAGACCGGAGCTTGGGGAGCGGAGCGACTTGGGAGGAAACCAAACGGTACAAGACTCCTGGATCCCAGAGAGGGGTTTGGCAGCAGCAGAAATACGCAGCTCTCAATCCTGCATGCTGGCTCTCTGCTATTTGGCCTCCATCCCTTGGTAAATCTCGCTCTCTACTCTTCAGAAAAGAATCCCTAATAAATACATTTGGAGCTTCAAGGGCGTGGGTGGGGAATGCGTGTACATCTCCAAAAGACTGTCATTACTGAAGCCTGAAAGTATCAAAGCATAAACATGCACAGAGGATGCTTCTAAAAATAATGAAATCCCTGATGCAGGAGCGCGCGACACAGAGAAAAATCTACACAGATCAGAAAGTGGTTTGTAAATCAGCAAAATAAGTACAGCTGCAGAGGGCCTGTGCTTGTCATTTATTTGCACGTTGGTGGGCAGCAAATTGCTAATTAACCACTAAATTGTTGGAGACCCTGAATGAGAGCTTAAGAAGGCGCACACCGCATCAATTGGTGGTCTCTGCTGCCAGGAGCCACATGCTTCTGTGCTCAAGGGGTGGCCAGCATCCAGGTTTCAGGCTGCAGGCCCACTTCCTCGGGCTTGGTGGGCTGCAGAGCCAACAGCCTGCTTTTTCCAAGAAGGGCTCTGAGCCCCTACGTGGTGGGCTCAGAGTTTGTGGGGACACGCTCTGGCAGTGTAGTCCCTTTCTGTGACTGAAGCTGGGCCGTTTGGGTGTCTTCGTCCTCACCTCTCCTTTGCCTGTCTCTTTGTTGTGAAATCGGCCCCAAATCCCAGACTCTCTGTGTCCAAATGGGTCTGAGTGAGCCCGGTGTGCCAGCACTTGCTTAGTTCCATGTTAGGCTCACCATGTGTGTAAGGGACACCCACGTCTGTGGCGGGGCAGGCAATGAGCCTACATGATGGATTAAAACAGATAAGACATGGACATCAAAAAAGGACAGGTTTGCTGAAACCCGAAGAGAATTTAAAACCAACCCAATGTCTTCAGGAACAAATAAGACAAACACCAACTAAAACAGAAATATTCTATTTTCCAAATTAATTTCACGGGCCCCAAACTAAACCTTGACACAATCGAAGTGGTCAGAAGGGCACCAAGGTGGTGATGGTAGAGGCTCTGAGTCCCTGCAGCCGCTCATTGCATGGTTCCTACGTAGGGATTTGCTGGCCCAAAATACTGGAATCCACTTTTTAAAGATTTTATTCTCCAGAAAAGGCTTTTAGCTTCTCAGTGGAGAAACATTCTATTGCCTTTATTTATTTATTTTTAAATAAAGGTGAGGATACATTCTCATAGCTTTCCTGAGAGATAATTCATAATTCAAAAATGTCCGAGCTTTCCCTGTCTACCTCTTCTGTTACAGTAAAATTGTTGGGTTATTTTCCCCCCTTTTTGTAACATCAGACACCGTTAAGGCCCCCTTGCACACCTGTAACGTGGGGGTAATAGAAATAGGTGTCTCTGGGTCATTATGGAGGTGAATGTGATATGTGTGGAAGTGCCTAGCACAAATGATCAAAAGCCGTATCTAAATAAACTCTACTGACTATCTTCATGGAGTTGGAATTATTTGGCAGTGTGGTGGTTTTTGTTTGGATTTTTCCTGCTTCATGAAATATTTTCCCATTCTTGAGGCAGGGCTAAGCAAGCCAAAGGTAGATTACTGGTTCCTGGAGATGCTATCTGGTAAATGTTGGATTGCTAACTGAAAGGATTGCAATTCAAATTCACCAGCCACTCCTGGGGGGCAGGGGGAGGAGGGGGGGGGAATGAAGCTATCTGATCCCATGAAGATTTTCAACATCAGAAACCACTCTACATGGTCACTATGAGATGGAATCTGCTCAATGGCAGGGGGCCTTCGGGTTAAGTTCCTAAAAGAGTTGTGATTCCCTCACGTCTGCCCCATCTCAGGGTGACCATGTCCATCTACAACAGATTAAAACATCACCCAGCCCTCTGTCATTCTCATGATGGCCAACACATTTGGGTCCACCACTGCTACTAACTGAACAAATTCGTGTTAACGGGGTTCTCCCTCATCCCGCCTCTCCCTCGTCCACTACGTTGGCAAACATGATGTCCTCTAGCCATTGACCCCTCCTGATGATGCTTCCAAAGCCAATGAGTCAGCCGGTGTTCTTGTGACCAAAATCCCCTGGTTTGCATTAACCAAATTCCAGACAGCATTCCTTCTTCATCTGTCTCGGACGCTGCTGATCTGTGAAATACCAGTGGCCTGGTTAGCTTCCAGCAGCACAGCAACACACAAGCTGTCACAAAATGACAAACTGACAGACGGGTGGCCACCTAGGACATTAGATGGCCCTGATACCACCCAGAGACCAGGCCTAAGTAGGGTTTTTAGATGCTGGTCTACATCAGTTCTGAGAAAGGCGGCTCAGGCCTGCTTCTCCATATACTTCTTTCTCCCTGGCCAGAGACAACGCCTGGTGCAAACTCTCTACCCTGAAATGTCATTATACTTTAGCACACAGGGGACAGCCAGCTGCTATGAGAGTCAGCGCTCAAAAAATTTTTTTTCAAATCCACTGGGCACTGTTAGGGACTGTTCTAATAATAGATATTCAGGCTGCACATCCAAAATAAGGTGCCACAAACTAACCTTCAGGTAGGGATTTAGAGCTTGGTTCACATCTCCACCCTAGGATGGCCCCTCTGCAGTGACCACGAGAAGTCCTTCTTGCTGCTCCTCAAGCTTCCAGACAAGCAAGAGTTGTAGTTGACCTCCTCTAGAAGCTGTCTAGGATAAGACAAGGGAGCCCTGGCAGCATGGTGAATGACACATTGGGCTGCAAACCGCAGGGTCAGCAGTTTGAAACCATGAGCGGCTCAATGGGAGGAAGAGGAGGCTTTCTACTCCTGTAAGGAGTTACAGTGTCCGAAACCCACAGGGCCAATTCGACCCCATCCTATAGAATCACGGTGATTCAGAATCGACCAATGGCAGTGAGTGGGCAATAAGACAAGCCTGAGTTCAAACTCTACGCCACCACTTAGCTGGTACTTCAGGCCTCATTGAGGCTTAGCTTTGCCATCTGTAAATTGAAGATAATAACTCCCTGGAAAGGTTGTTTAAGAATACAATGAGATAATAGAGGTAAGGTCGCCAGCTCAATGTTAAGTTACTATAACAACTGTAACAAAGTGAAGCTTTTACCTCCTCCTCTGCCTCCTCCTCCTCCTGCTTCTTCTTCTTCTTCTCAAGAATGATCTGTCTGAGTGACTATGAAGTGCTGGTGAGGATTCTGGAGTGAAAAGCTCTCAGCTTACCTTAGAAACCAGTTTGGGAAACTTCAGGAGCCTCTCCTAGGGCGAAGGCCTACCCCAAAGCCCTGGGTCTCGGACCCTGCTGAGATCAGTAGCAAACTTGGTGTTTCAGATTAGAACTGTTCCATATGTTTTCTTGGCCGACATCTTTACAGAAGCAGGTCACCAGGCCTTTCTTCCATGGAGCTGCTGCATGGGTTTGAACTATCAACCTTTGAGGTTAACAGGCAATCACAAACTACTCACACCAAAGACTCCTAACCCACGCCCAAGTGCTGGGTGCTATTGAGTCGACGCCAATTCATAGCAAAAGTCTTCCTGGGACAGAAACCTTTCTAGGGATAGATTCACCAGGTCTTAGACAAGGCTTTCTACTCCCATAGACAAGTCCAGTCTGTTGACAGGATCAGGTATCAAAAGATCCAAAACAAACAACTATATCGATGTGAATGAGGGGGCTTGGGGTCGAGACCCAAAGCCCATCTGTAGACAATTGGCCATCCCCCCCATAGAAGGATTATAAGGAAGGGATGATTCAACCAAAGTGCAGTATAGCACTGATGAATCACACATCATTCCTCTAGTTCCTGAATGCTTCCCCCCAACCACCATGACCCAGTTCTACCTTACAAATCTGGCTAGACCAGAGAACACACATTGGTATAGATAAGAGTTCTCGACACATGGAACTCAGGAAGATAAAACCCTCAGGAACAGGAGTGAGAGTATCGATATCAGGACGGTAGGGGGATGGCCGGGGAGGGTGAAGGGGGAGGAAGGGGGACCCCATCACAAGGTTCGATATATAGCACACATGCACACATATACACACACACCCGAAGGTGATGAATAACAAAAATGTGCGTGAAGGGATACAACGGACAGTGAAAGATATGAAATAATAACAATATATAATTGATAAAAGATTCATGAGGGTGGGAGGCTGGGAGAGGGAAAAAGAGGAGTTTATATCAAGGGCTCAAGTAGAAAATGTTTTGGAAATAATGATGGTAATATATGTACAAATATGCTTGATACAACTGAGGTGTGGAATGTTATAAGAGCTGTATGAGCCCCCAATAAAATGATTAAAAATAATTCCAGTCTGGGGAATCCACAGGGGCAGTTGCACCCTGGCCTGTAGAGCCACTGTGAATAGAATTCACTCAAGGGAAGGGAGTTGAGTTCCTTTCTCGGAGCTGCTGGTAGCTTTGAACTATTAACCTGCA